ATCTATCTATCTATCTATCTATCTATCTATCTATCTATCTATCTATCCACCTGCCTGCCTACCTACACCTACACACACACACACACACACACACACAAGAGCATCACGAGTTGCTTCCACTTTGGTGAGAGGATTCCCTGGAGTCTGGAGTACCTCACACTTCTTTGCCATGGCAATTTTAGTGCCCATCTTGAGGTAGCTCAATAAGGATTTCATGTCTACTGTGAAGATTATCAACATGTCCTAACTGGTACTTGGCAATAGGTATGCCATAGACCACATGCTGGATTTGGTATCTATTCACTCAAGAGCTGATGATCTGAAAGTGAGTGAGGTTTCTGAAATTCCTTTATCATGGACAGATCATTCGCTGGTCAGTTTTATATTAAGAGCTGTTTTAACCTTCATAGAGTTAGACGACTAATTAAAATGATATACCTCAGTGCCATATATGTGGGCAGAATCCACTGTACAGCTTTCCAAAGTACCAGAGATTCAACAGTTGATAGAAGGAGAGCATTAAGTATTCTGCATCAAGTATCTACCATGAATGAGAAAGGAGACCCAAAATGATCAGGGCTAAAAAGAAGGGATTAATGAAAGTAATTGTTGGTTATTAAATTTATTCAACTCTAGGGAGTTTTGAAGTTTGATATTTTATAAGTTGACTAACATTTGTGCCTCGCAGGTACTAATCCAACAATTGGTTTTATTCATGCATCCACCACAAAATTGCCATTGCCTTTCACAGACCATTCCTTGCTTTCAAGAGGAATAGCTAAAGGCTTTAACACTGTCAAGGCAACGTTTGGCTAATAAGAGTTAGCTACTCTCTGTGGGATTTCCAGCGTTCTTTTGCAGATGATTACAAGCCAGAAACACTTAATCTGTAGGAACCAGTTCTGCTCTAGATTTATCAGATTTTCTGTCTACACCATATCATTCTCATATTGATTTGTGGAGGTTGTCTTGCCCCCAATGGTGAAAGATGAACAGGAATGATATCTTTTAAAAAAATATTAAAAGGGGATGGGGAAAACCTTATTCCCCCACATGACTTGACAATTAATTTTACTTGATGAATCATGTCCCTGAATTGTGTTCCTACAGCCAGAAACTCAGGCCAAGATACAAAAACAACACTTAGAGCTTTCATGTATTATGGCCAAAAACTTGATTTCCCACCCATTTTTTTGGAGATGAATTCACAACCTCATGAGCCGCTGCTCAGAAACTTTTTCTTTTGTTCCCTGACATTTTTCCAAGAAATATCTTATTATGTCAAAGCTTTCTGGATAAATGTGTTTACTTTTATTTTTGCTGCACGTTGTCAATCGGCAAAATTATCTTTTTGCTAATGGTCAACCATAGCCATTATGTTTCAAAAGCTTTGAAATGACAAACTTCAAGAGGGGTCTCCAGTGAGGCAAGTATTATCAAGTGTTCAACAGTCTAGAAATCTATGTAACTTTAATATCATAAGAAATTATGAGATAAGAAAGTTGGCCATTTTAGAATCCTGGGTGGCTTAATGCAAAGTTCCCCAACCTTTCCGGATTGGTGGCCCAGAGCAGGGAGAGGGGGGCAAGAGTGGATATTTTTGTGGGAGGGGCAAGCACATGTGTGTGGACATGCAAGAGGGTCTATGACTATTTGTGGTGATATTTCTGCAAATGGGGCTGTGAGGCCCTCAACAAGGCTTGCATGTGGGCCCGTGAGTGCCCACGAGGTTCGCACGAGTGGGGCTGTGCCCATGTGGAGGCACATATACTGCCCCCCCCTCATGCAGCCCAGTGGCAATTAGTCCCTTTCCCAGTAGTGGACCGTGGCATACAGGCTGATGACCCTTGACTTAAGGTACAAAGCAGGGGTGGGATTCTACTGGTTCAGACCAGTTCAAGTGAACCAGATGTTAACGTTACAGCTGGTTCACCGAACCAGTATTTTAACTGACCAGGTGGCCCCACCCACCCAGCCCTTCCCCCCCGCCCCCCAGGAGTCTCCATGTGGCCCATTTTTGATGGAGGTAAGTGCAGGGTCTACATGGAGGCTCTGGGAGAGGGGAAACAGGCCTTCTGTTTTCACCCTTCCAGAGGCCCAGGGAAGGCCTCCAGACCCTTGGGAGGGTGAAAATGGCCTCCCCCAGTCTCTGGGTCTATTTATATCTAAATAGACCTCATGCTTGCATATGTCTATAACAAAATCCATCCACTTTTCTCTTCAGTGACATGAAGGGATTGTTTAAACCAAAACAGAGGAAATGCTTCACCAAGAAGGGCTTTATTCAGAATAAGATGGCATAGATCCAGAAAGTTCTCACAAAAATTGCTGATCAGTCATTTCTGGACAACTCAGCATGAGTTAATTTGTGATGAAGATGGCTAAACCACCGGATCCTCATCGGTACACTTGACCTTAGCCAAAAGACTGAAAAGCAATTGGTCCTTCTTACTATTACTTCCTCAAGCCACCTGAATGTATCCCATGTTCTTCTATAATGCAAAGAACATGAATAAGATTGATTGCATCAGGCAAACTGTCTTTCAGGAAAGCAAATGCACCATTCCTAACTTTATCAAGAAGGCTTCAGATATCATTCATCAACTAGATACGCTTGAACTACAGCATCTTGTAAGCTACTGAGAGTGTTTAATTTAATTTTATAATAAAATAAACAAAAAGCATACATTTGAAAGGCGTGAAGTTGGACCCATTAGAATAAATTTCTCTAAACATTCAGACAAAACCACAAATGGATCAGTTGTGAATTATCAGCAAGTAATTTCAGGATTGCTTTGGGAAGAGGGCTTGGTACCCCAGTCTATGTACACAAGAAAATAAATTTCAACCTCTTAGAAAAAAATTGATCTGAGCAGTTGCCATTTTGAGCACAGCTGTTTTTGTAATGATTGTTAAAAATTGACAAAATGAAAGACAATGAATAGAAAAATGATATACATCACTACTCCAGTTTCCCAAATATGGAGCACAAAATGGAACAAATAAAGGGGAGAAATCTAAGGTCCCCAATCCATCTTTTATTTAAAGAAGCCATTAAAATGACAAAACTCTTAACTGGAAAAAAAGCCAATCTAGCTGAAAAACTAAAGTCAATAAAACATGAACCAGGGCCTAATCTGTTCTTACTACATGACCTACTTTCCACTGAGCTTATTCACATGAGCAGCTAGCACTCCAAGGAGCCTGTTGCAGCATAACTATTTGCTAAACGCCCTATTTTCATTTACAACTTTCTATTTTAAATTATATCAGCACACTTCTCTAGGTCTTGGCAGTCTTCCAAATGGTCCCTTAGATACAAATCATATGTGGAAGTTCAAATGTATGAAACATCATAAAATAACTTACAAAGTAATAAAGCTACTTAACTATTACCCATCTGAAGAAACACTGTCTTCCAGATGTTGCTCAACTACAATTCCCAGAAACTCTAGCCAAGGTAGGTAACAATACAGATTGTCCTCAAATGGGGCCAGCAACTTGGCTATTAAGGGAAGTGTTGCTAAGTAAAACCTTAACTTGCTTATGATCTTCCATTATTTGACAGACCTGTAAAAGGCATTAAAGTGAGGGTTGGATGTAAAGTTACATTTTTATTGCTGTTGTAAGTGTGAATGATGACTAAATGAGGCCTTCACTGAAGGAGGACTACCCTGTAAAGTTTTCTGATAATAGTCCAGAGGTGGTATTCAGCAGGAGAACCGGTAGTGGAAATTTTGAGTAGTTCAGAGCAGTGGTGGGATTCAATTTTTTTTACTACTGGTTCTGTGGGTGTGGCTTGGTGGGCATGGCAGGGGAAGGATACTGTAAAATCTCTAGTCAGAGGTGGTATTTGCCGGTTCTCCGAACTACTCAAAATTTCCACTACTGGTTCTCCAGAACTGGTCAGAACCTGCTGAATACCACCCCTGGTTCAGAGAACCAGCAAATACCACCTTTGACTGGCCCCGCCCCCATCTATTCTCTGCCTCCTGAGTCCCAGATGATAGGCTGGGTCTTCTTTTGTTGCCCTGTATAGGAGAATTGAGCTGGAAAATAGGTTAGTGGGGTGGGGTGGGAAGGGAGATTTTACAGTATCTTTCCCCTGCCATGCCTACCAATCACGCCATGCCCACCAAGCCATGCCCACAGAACTGGTAGTAAAATGTTTTGAATCTCACCACTGTAATAGTAGTTCAGCAAGATCTCTATGTAAAAACTCCTCCACACTGAGATCACACACACTGAAGCTTACAATAGGCTAGAAACAGCATTATTTTTTGTGCAGATGGGGAAGTTATAGTTTTTAAATAACTCATTAGATACCGTTCTCAGTCACGGTGCACAGGTCCAAGATCAGCAAGCCTGTTTGAACCTTAGGCTAACGTAACTGGGAAAGTGATTTACTCATTTTTATTTCAACAGCCTATCTTTCCCACACGCTTATTCCAGTCACTGACACGCAACCCAGGGCCAGCTGTTTCCTCATTCAGCCATGCTCAATAATCACTGAACACATTCTTCTGCCAAGATGGGAATTGAAAGCATGGAAACTGCAATGAAATCTTCAAGCTATAGCAAGATCCTGCTGTTCCCAAACAAAGGTTAAGCAACCTCTTTGGGAAAGAGGCCTGAATATATCATGAGGTAGAAGAAGACATTTCTTTACTGGGTTGCAAAATTGTAGAGTAAAGAGTTTATCGTATCCTCTTAGTTGCTATCTAAAGGTTATCTGGATTGTTGCAACCCAGATATGTTGTTTTGGAATAGTGTATTTGCAAAAAAGAATATTTGCAAATCACATTTTGAGCTCAAAATATTCTGAATATGTCTGCTAAATTAGGGCAAAGACGTTCTATTCCATATAGGAGAATTTCAGCATCCCCTATAAGAAATTTTGAAAAAATATCTATGAAATCTATTTAAAATATTCATATTACTACATGGTACTTGTCATAGACTATTCATAAACATTTCTGTCTATGACCAATGGCTACATTAACTGAAGCTGATAGGAGTTAAGATTCCATAATATCCAAATGTCCTGGAAGAAACAGCAGTGCTCAAGATAAGCTCATTCCCTAAATTTCAGCACTCTAAATACCATCCAATGTAATCCAATCCAACATTTTCAGATGAATCCAGATAAAGAGGAATTGAACAGGCATTCTCTTTGAAGACCAGCTCTATTCAATGTATTTCTAATGTTGTCTCTGAATAAATGAAAACAACTGTGAGCAAATCCCATAAAAGGCATCAACTCATAATCCAAGGTCTTCATGCTACCTTAGAGCATCACATCAAATGAATCTCCCATTTCCAGGAAAATGTCCTCTGTACAACTCCTCTAATTTTTATTCTTTTTTAAAAAAAGTATATCAGTGCTAAATTTATCTCTGCCATATTTACTACTGGTTTATGGAATCTATATAATTATTAACGTAAGTTCTGGGAGAACTAATTTAGTTCATTCCTTCCCCTCACCTTAAATGATAACATACAAATCTTCTTACTGCTTACATCTTCCAACTGAATATTCTTGCAAAGGGCAGCTGTTTTATTCCAAAATTGACAAGTGTCAATTTTTCCAGTAAAAAAAAAAAAAAGAGAAGGAACAAAAATAAGAATAATATAGGACACCATTTTTTTGTTCAGAGAAGAATGGAATGAACAGTCTTTCAAGTGAGATCTGCAACAAAAATGTTGTGATTTACTCTCATCTTATAATGGGACTTCTTCAGCTGGCATTCTCTCTCTCCAAGCTACTCCACTTCATGCTTGGATTTCCATTTATACTCTTCAATTGATGACAAGTATTTTATTGCTATTGAGTAAGTTCAGTGTTCAGTGAACTAGGCTGTAGGGATTTAGCTTCTCTCTAAGGCCATCCTCAGCTCCTGAGAGGGAAGAGTTACGTTCTGGCTACCTTCACATTCTTCAGTTGTCAAGCAAGTGGGTAGCTGCTTTATACAATCTATTAGTAAAAACTGGAGGAAGATCGTCCCTTTAACAATCTGAGAGATAAATTAGGTTCTACATTGAAACCATCCAATTACTGTACAGATAAGCCCTTAGCTTACATCCATTCATTCACTGACAGCTCGGATGTACAGCAGCACTAGAAAAACAATGAGCTGTTCTTTGAAGTTTTGGCCACCACAGACTGCTCATGTGATCAGCATTTTTGACTTTCCCTGTCAGCTTTCCACAAGCAACATCAAAGGGAAGCCATCAGGGAAGGTTGCAGTCGCTCTAGTACAAGGGATGTCAAACTTAAGGCCTGTGGGCCAAATCTAAGGCTGCAGGAGGCCGTCACAGCTGCTCTCCCTGGTCTTGCCTTCCTCCGTTGGAGACAATGGATCCCCCCACACCACCTGGGCCACCCCAGGTGCCCCTGACACGAGTGACGTCGAGATGGCCATGCCTACCCAGGCTATGCCTACTGGTCTCCCGAGGTCAAACACAATCCTGATGTGGCCCTCAATGATATTGAGTTTGACACCCCTGCGCTAGTAGATTCCTCTCCACATGGTCATGCAGCACCAATCCCTCCACCCCACAGCCTTCCTGCACTTGTGTGGCACTGCACCTACCTACCCATGGCCTTCCTACACTCACATGGTGCTACGGCAGCCCCTTCCCTGGCTCCCCCAATTTACATGCAGCCTGTGCCAGGGTCTCACCCATGACTCCCATCACTTTCTACTTAATGCCTTGTGCATTTTGGGTTTATGACAGCAACTGGGATTGCCACTGATAAGCAATGTGATCACATGACATCACAGTTTATGATCACATTGTTTAGAGGAAGCAATTCAAGTCCCACTTGCTATCGTAACTCAAGGACTCAAATGTAACATTGTCCCATTCCTCTTCAGTAAATCCAAAGAACGTCTAGTTTTTGGTAGCTGACTACAATCAAAACCAAAAATTTCAGTTTTACACACACACACACATACACACACACACACACACACATTTCATATACTATATAACTATAACTCATACATGCGCACACACAGAGACACACACACTTGTATATGGTCCAACAGTAGAATAAAATCACATCCAGCTATTAATTTTTGTCCAGAAAGCAGTGCATCCCACATTAGATATGTAACATATACATACTTGCACAGAGTAATTACAAATAGCAAAGTCAGAGGAAGCTTGGGTGGGTGGGAAACTAAGCAAAGAACTCTATACAAATTATTTTAATTTGCAGGTGGTACTTTTGGAAGATTTCCCAGACCAAATTTTTCAGGGACGCTCACATCTCTAATATAGATACCACTTCCTTTTTCTTTTTTTTAGTAATGAAGTCTTAGTTCCAATTCAATCAGCATTTGGCACTCAAGTTTGTGATTAAGAGAGGTAATTGTTAGGAATGTAACTCACCTAACAGTTGGGTTGGAAAATATATAAACCAGGGCAGACATTTTAATACTGTCTCTTTAAGGGAATGCTAAAATTATAATTGGGTGTGGTTCCCCAAACAGCCCTAAGATGGAGCCAGAAACCTGGGTTGTTCTGTTCTTCTGTTGTTTCTGGAGAGTGTTGCCATTCCTGCATTTCCTTGACTGTTACTGATCATCATTATTCTTGGATGTGATGTAAGTCTGTTACTGAACTGTTTGATACTGGACTTTGATTTTGGATTATCCCTGGACTGAAAACTGACTGCTTTAACTGTGAATGACTTGGACTGTGTTTGGACTTTGCTTAACAGTTTTACTGGAAGTAAAAACCTACATTTTATTATACAGTGTATCTGTGTGCTAGTTGTGTGTTATTCTTCACCACTCTCACTACGTCTCCCTGTGTGCGCTCATTCTCCTAACAGGGAATTACCTCAACAGTAATGATTGTTCAATCCTGTGAAGTCTGGAGGCATGGCTATTTGTTCATAGGCAGCCTATAAAAACTGAACTTCTCGGCCTGATTGATAACATTGCATACAAGGCTGAATGTGACACTTTTACTTGCATAAATAAGACAGGTTGTGCTCCAGGGTCCTGACATTTATTTCTGACATTAGAGGTCACCCGTAACATGGCATGCATCCATGTCTAGCTTCACATTCCTCCAAATGAGAAAAGCAAAGACAAAGAGGTTACCAACCAGCAAAAACCCAAAGAAGTCATGATGAATTTTTCAAATACATTTTTTAGCCAAAATCGCCAGAGTTATACAACAGATCAGCCAACACAAACCATAGTAAAAAGGCATTACATTAACAAAAATAAGCAATCCAAGAAAGCAATGTCTCAATCATGTCCCTTTATGGAACATAGTGTTTCATTATTTTATTTATTGAGATACAATATTTATAAGTAAGGTTGCATCACTATTTCAGTTCAGGTGTGCTCTTTCCCTAGAGACTTTATCCAAACAGTCAGGCAGAAATTCACTCAGAGAGGAGATTCCATTTATTCAAGGTCCAACATAACCAAATAACCATCAATTATAATCAATACAAATTTAGGAACAAAGGATTTCCAAAAACTGATAATGCCACAATCTATAGCCAAACCAAACACCTGCAAGTGTGAGAGCGATTAACAGATTAAAACTGGGTGACGCCAACTCTGAGATGCATCATTCATTTTCACCCTTGACCCTGGTTTTCCCTCCACCCCCTGGGTGTATCATAATTCATATTCTCCAATGGAACACATCCATAGCAAAGAGTCATCAGTCATACTCTCCAGTTAGAATTTTGTGCAGCACAAACTTTGGTCACTTAGAAACTATCCATGAAAACATTTATGGAATGCAGTTTCAGTTTTGCAAGCTGCTGCACTCCTCCCCCCTCCCTTTCTGCTGGCAACTCTAAAAGACTAGAGAAATATTTTATGAGTTGACATAATATAAACTATACACTATGATGTGAATGCAAATATTGTATAACATAAATCCTTTAACAAATCTGGACAGCCATGTCAACTATACCGTCAATATCAAGAATGCAATAATTATCAATAACACAAAGGATGAAGAGAAGAAGAAAGGACACCATATTAGCTTTCTCAGTTATGTTGAGGGAGCCAGCCTTCTATATTCCATTTTTTTCATTACATTCTATGTCACATAGAAAGGGTTGCTTGCACACATTTAGCCACTGTTTCAGTCAGATGTGAATACATGTATTAACTAGAAGTAAGGAAGATGATACATAACAAGAACTTTTTAAAAAAAATTCAAAAACATCTTCTTAAGGTTTACCTGTATTGTAATTTAAGATATAAGAGCCAACAAGGCAGAAAATACATGTTGGTCAAGATGAACAAGCAATTCAACATACACTTCAATGTGTGTATCCTTTAAAGTCTCAAAGGTTGTTCTTTTTTGCATCCCTAAGGGCACTGAAGTTATCACTGGTTCATGACATTCATATTTGCAAACACATTCCCAGAAAGCCTTGCAACTGCAACATGAAAACATTGATTTTCTACAGATATCCCCAGCAGACCTACCAACCACAAAATGTATCATTGACTGCTCCTGAAGCAAATTCATGGTTTAATTTTTGGCATATAAAACCTTAAAGGGGATTGCCGGAATAGGAGATTTGGTAATTTAGCTTCTCTATTACTTGTCTGGACAATCACACAAAGTCTATAATAGAAGTTCCTGCCATAGGTGGAACAACTTAATCTCTGATCTTAGGACTGTTTCTTCTAAAAATCATGCACTTATTAAACATTGTTATTTTTGTCGAAACTTATCTCTATGTGAATACTGTGGATTAATTTTTCTCTGTTTTTCACTTACTTTCTTAATGGATAATGCTATCTATAAATATTCGCAGCACTGTAGTTTCATTCTTGAATTTTAATAACTTTAATTTTATTATTCATGCAACGCTTGAAGATGAATTACACAGGAAATAATACAAGTACACAATTCAATAAATATCTGGGGCAAATCCCAGAAGTCACATTATTCTCCTGCTATTCATATCTGCTTTAAATGAGGGAGAGATCATTAGACTATCAAAGCATTTCTTTTTACTTCTCTGTATAGATAATGAAAGAAATTAGAATCTACATCCTGTAGAATATGATCGCGATATATGGCTAAGGTACAGTATATGATCATTATTTCTAAATTGGGTTGCTTTATCAAGATCTGAACAAATTCTAAATGCTCTTGTCAATTCTAATCAAGACTTGAGAGCTTAACTGTAAAAATTATAAAAAACTATAATTAAAAAAAAGCCTAAAACATTAACCTTCACAATCACTACTAACCAGCCGCTCCATCAGCTTAAGACGAAATACTAACACCATTACAAATTTCTCATTTAGTTAAGCATGCTTCTGAATCCTACATCCTCAAATTTCCAGAACTTTGGAATCCAAACTTAGTCTGCCCAATAATATATAATTTGGCATCATCTTCTTTGCCATAATTAAATTATTTAGTGTTCCTCTTAAAAAAAAATCCAGACCTTATCAAAGCCAAAGATTCTGCAGTCCAGCTAAAGAAGGCATGGCATAGAAGTACAGAATAACAGAGTTGGAAAGGACCTTGAAGGTCTTCTAGTCCAACCCCCTGCTCAAGCAGGAGTCCCTATACCATTTTAAACAAATAGCTGTCCGATCTCTTCTTAAAACCACTGGTGATGGAGCACCCACAACTTCTGAAGCCAAGCCATTCCACTGAATAACTGTTCCGTCAGGAAATTTCTCCTTAGTTCTAGGTTGGTTCTCTCCTTGATTAGTTTCCATCCATTGCTTCTTGTCCTGCCTTCAGGTGCTCGTGAGAATAGATTGACCCCGCTCGTCTTCTTTGTGGCAGCCCCTTAGATATTGGAACACTGCTATCATGTTATTCCTAGTCCTTCCGTTCATTGAACTACACATACCCAGTTCCTACGACCTTTCTTTATATGTTTTCATCTCCAGTCCCCTAATCATCTTTGTTGCTCCTCTTTGCATTTTTTCTAGAGTCTCATTTTACAACATCAGAGAGCATAGCACTTAGATTACATCCAGTCCATGGGAGGGACACCACATCCAACTGAACTCATCACACAGATTCCAATTTAACAGAATATGTAATATATTTCCAGCATATTTTAGTATGAAGGAAACTGTAGGTAGTTGTTTGGAGCACAATAACTGGCCTCTAGTCCTGACTTAGGCAAAAAAAAAGCCAGTTGGATTCTCTTGGGCTAATCTCTCTCAATCTTAGGAGGCAATGGTGAACCATTTCTGAAAAACCTTGCCAAGAAAACTGCAAGGACTTGTCCAAACAGTCTTCTGGGAATCAGAGAGGACTGAATGAAATGAAGTGAATGAAGAGGGGGAAGAGAACAGATAAAGGCAACAGGAAAATAGGCTCAGTGGTTAGAATGCAATATTGCATGCAAACTCCACCCACAGCCTGAAGTTCAATCCTGACTGGCTGAAGGTTGACTCCGCCTTCCATCCTTCCAAGGTCAGTAAAATGAGGACAGAGATTGTTGGGGATGATATGTTGATATGTTGACATTGTAAAGTGCCCATAGAGTGCTGTAAAGCACTTTAAAGTGATATTAAGTGCTATTGCTAAACAGGCAAAAAGGATGAACCTCATGGTGCCTTGACAAAAACAACTAAAGTTCTACATAGTATAAGCCAGTGGTCACCAACTGGTGGGCCATGGCCCACCGGTGGGCCACAAGAAAATTTTGGTGGTCCGCAGAGAAATGTCACCCCCAGAGCACCTCTCAAAGCAATTAATCCAGGCTGCATGGGAACACAAAGCTGAGCCGCCCACACGGCCTGCAGGAACCCTCCCCACCCACTCACTTCTTACCTGGCAAACTTGCCTGCTAAGTTGCTATTTTTCCTTTTTTTTTCCTGACCATCAGCTGTTCTGATGTGCAGGGAGATTTAGATTAGCTAGAAAGCAGGAAACCATTGGATTTCTTGCTTTCTAGATAATCTTTAGATCTTCGGCTCTGCTTTTAAGTAGAGCCAAACCTTCCTTAGGACTGAAGCTTCTATTTGTCAGTGCAGACTCAAATAGCCGATGGCAGATAGATAGATCTCTGAATGAATCTGTGCCTCTGTGAGCAACTCAATCTGCCTGCCTGCTTTGCCTGATTTTGAGTAAAAGTTGCTCTTTTTTATAAAAAATTCAATATTTACATAAATATTTATAATATTTACATACAAGCCATGTCCAACCAGTCACATGACCACCAAGCCACAAATTAGGCCATGCCCCCAAAACCAGTTGTTAAGAAATCTGAATCCCACTCCTGCCTCTGTGTTTGTGTGTGTTTGTGTGTGTGAGAGAGAAAGAGAGATACAGGAAGGGGGGGAGAGATTAGATCAGATCTCTCTCTCTCTCTCTCTCCCACCAATGTCAGCAAGCCACCATCAGTCAACATTCATATTAGTGGTCCACAGAATTTAAAATTATGATTTTGGTGATCCCTGAGGTCCAAAAGGTTGGCGACCTCTGGTATAAGCTAAGTGCTTAAAGCAGAGCTCTCCAAACTTGGCAACTTTAAGACTTGTGGACTTCAACTCCCAGCTATGCTGGCTGGGGAATTCTGGGAGTTGAAGTCCACAAGTTTTAAAGTTGCCAAGTTTGAGGACCCCTGGCTTAAAGGAATGACATATTCTTATTTGATCCCAAAGCCTGCCTTCCTCAACCAAGTGCCAGGTTGATATACTGAACTGCAAATCTCACTATTCCCTAATTGTTTGGGGAAAACACAACTAAGCAATTTTGCAAGACTATGGAAGCTTTGGGCATCATGTTTAAGTTCAT